GTAGCCGTACTTGGAAATGCCCGATGCCTTGAACACGGCTCCGAATTGGGCAGCAGTTTGGCCGTCAGAATTCACGATCAGGAGCGTCACCACGTCGTGCGGGTTGCGGTCCATCCAGAGCTTGACCTCCGAGAGCCAGTCCTTCGGGGGCCCGGGTCATGGGAATGCCGTATTTCATAGGGTAGTGCCGTATTTTATAGGGTAGGTCGAAGGTCTGGACGCTACTGGTCCTAGCGGATCGACTAAGAGACTCATTATTTCGATCTTATCTCTTGGCACATTCCTCGGTATTTTACCTCTCGTTGTCCATGTTGAAATATTGCAATACCGAGAGGGAACCGGTAGAGCAAATATTGATTTCATCAGTCCATACTCTGTTATGGTGATATGCGAAACTCTGACGTTGATTTCCCCAGCATCGAGTAGACTGCACGATGTGTATCACAGCTCGATACTTCCATTGAGATCGTGAACTTGCACCTGAAGGGGACGGATGCCTGCGTCTAATGCCACAGTGGCGTTGAAATACTCAGTAGAGTGCCGGCTATGGAGTTCTGCGTGCTGGCATCGCGGATAAAAGACGAGTCATGGGCGCCCATGTGGGTGATGTTGCTGTACGAGCGGCTGCAGAGATCGGGCGAGTCAGCGCTTCCTATAAGTCAAACAAGTCAAGTAATTGACCACTGACCTTATTCAACTGCTTTGCGAACTGGATGATCAGATCATCCAGTGCTGGGTCGGGATCAGCAATGCGATTCTAGCGACAAAGGAGTCTTTAAAAAGTCGCGTGAAAACCGCTCCACGGGCGAGATATAGGATTCTAGAGATGAAGGTGTCTCTGAAAACTCGTGTGAAAATCTCTCCACGGGCGAGATATGGGATTTTAGAAATAAAAGAGCCTCTATGAGATTCTAGTGATAAAGGAGCTTCTGAAAACTTCTAATTTCATTGCAGCTGTTAGTGAGTATTTTCTCGTATGGGTCTTCAACAGGCCGCGGAAGTGTACGAGTTGTTTCTTCTAGATTGAGGCTCACTGGACCTCTGTAACTGCGGATTGTTTCGAAAGTAAGATATACCCATAGATAGGTTCTATTTGGGATGCTCGTGTGAAGACCGGTTGTGTGGTCGGGTCGGTCAGGGCTGCTATGACTTCCCATGGACCCTAACAAGCCCAAAAAACCGGTTGGATCGTTTCGTCACAAGCAGTGAACCTAAAGTGTTTTTTGATGCTTTTCGTAAGGCGCACTGCTGTTGATGATTAAACGGTCAAAGGTTATTGGGTTAGTAGTGGTAGCAGCAGGTGGTAGCAGCAAGTGGTATGTACAGTACATACCTACCGAACCATCCCCTGCCCATTCCAGTAAACAGTAGCTCAACTATTTTGCTCCTTCTTATCACGGCCGGCAACAGCCACTACTACCGGTTGTGCCAACCTGCTCAAAAGAGCTGTGGACATAACCAACGTGGCAGCTTGGTTATTTCCTAGTGTTTATATACGGGACTACAGGCTGGACCCATGGGCTACTCCATTGGGCCAGACCTGCCAGTCCCGTGACTCTTCTTAACGTTCAACATTTTTCAAACAGAGAAACGACGGTCGAAAATCAGTCAATCGATAATAAATTAATCGTTAATCAAACGTTTACTGAATGTTGATGAACTGTTAGCGAAGTTTCTAACTCTGGAATTTCGCGAATACTTGAGCTATAGTTTACCGCACCTAGCAGGTGTTCATACAGTACGGTAGTGGTACTTCGTAGGTAGTAGGTGGTGGTGGCAGTAGGTGCAGAAGGTACGGGGATATCAGGGGTCTGATGACTAAGCCAATTTTCAAAAGCTTCCAAGGGCTGTTGACTAAAATGCAGGTATACCTATCAAGGACCTGGGCAGGAATTCGCCATTTTTCGTCACAAATTCGATTATTAATAAACAACCCATCGGAAGAATCAGGCCAAGGTGATAATACGGGCAAATGTGTAGATACTGTCTCGGAATGGTAGCTATTGGGTCATAGGCCTATTCGTATCCCTTCGAGTGTCATTTCCGCATCGTGACTTTAAAAGTGGAAAACCGGGGCGTAACGCATTTAGAAGGCAAAGAAATGCGTTTAATCAGATTAGCGTATATTATTTAAGTACATCTGGATTAAGTAAAATCTAGCTATATGTATATATTGTTTTACTATTTAGATTTAAAAGTCGCGGCGCGGAAATAGCACTTCAAAGAATAGTAGCTTAGGTGATCTAAACTGGCAAAAGGAGATGGAACAACTTACCTCCGAAGAGTGTACACATAAACCGGAAGTACTCGCACCCTAGCTAGAAAGTATCCCTTTCAATAGACCATCCGTATACCTATCACCAAGATTGCTTTAATTGTTGGGCTCATCCAGTTTACTTCCCCTAAGATTGCTAAGGATAAACTACTCTGTCATAGATATATAGGTTGTCTGAACTCTTTGGTGTGTTTGAGGCGAAGAATTCAATCAATCTAACTATAGAGCTCTAATAAGAGCTCTTTTTTCTTTGTCTCAGTAATATAATTGACCCATGTATTATCGCCATACATCCATGGTACATCTCTAATGAGATGAGATATTAAAGCAAGAGTAGGGGGGCAAGATAGAAATAACCAGATAACTCCGATGGTTTAGATACAGTTGTAATTTCCCTGTCTCACAAGCTCTCTATGTCCAAGATCTATGATTTTGCTACCCTTTTAATTTAAAAGGACGCCGCTTTAAGATCAATCCTTTTCGTAAGGCTATCTATCAAGATAACGTTATAGTTAAATAATGTTTTTAATGAAAATATAAGCTGTTATTATAACAATGAGCAATGTTATAATAGAATAAGAGATAAGTATAGTTTAACATATTAGGACCGCGTGTTATACTAAGTCGGCTGGCTCTTTTCCCAACTGAGAGTGTAATTATTGTTCTATCGTATAATAGTTGACAATTCAGGTCCAGTTCACCAAGACGTCCGGTCTATATCCACAACTTCAAGGATTCTTAGAACGCGACTTTAACACTGGGCAATATCTTCTAATAGATCCATTGGCATATAATACTGGCCTGTAATCACGATGTTAGTTTCGGGCCTAAAGAGATGTTGATCAAAATCGGGCGTCGTACTTGGCGACAATCTACAGTGCAAAGCATGATGCCTGATTTTGATCAGCACCTTCGTCAACGAGACACCCCACCTTGCCCCTTAGGACTACCATGGTGGGAGCTATCGTGACCGAGTGGAGACGCGGTCATGCATCCATAACCAACGTACCTTAAAGGTCTTGCGATAGTTGCTCTAGCTTATCTAAAAGGCAGCAAGGACTTTCCAGCTCTGTCCAACTGTGTAATCAGCAATGATGTGCATTGTGACATGAAATCCCGCGCTCATTTTTCTCCCTATCTTGTCTACATTACACCAATTGAGAACACCAAATATATTGAGCTACAATCCTCATTATGTCAGGATCTGATCATGTGGAGCCATTGCTTGACTATGGCTGTTCCCCCTGGAGAATGAGCAGCCAGCGTGCGGCGGACTTGTACGATTCAGGGGTCAAATTATGGCGGAAAGAGGACCTCGTGGAGATCGAACAACAGCTTGCGCAATCATGTACCACCGAGAAATTCACGGTCCGCCGTATTGATGGCAGTGTGGTCAACATCAAGAACCCGATGTTTGGGGTTCAAAAGCCAATCTGGTAGAGCTTACTAGTCTTCTAATCTTCGACAAGAATCTCATACTGAGACAGTGCGTGTGGATAGCATGCAATACTAACTCACAAATCTTATCTCCAGGAAGCCGAGAGTTGTGTTCCAAGAGTACTGGCGTCTCGTTTACTCGCAACCTGACGCCCCCCCGGAGACATATTCTTGCACATATCTCCTCGATTGGATTAACTTAACGGCGCGCAACTACGAGGGGCCAATCGAGAATGTGCAAGCTCTGTTTAAAAGCAGTCAGCAAAAATGGGAGGCGAGTGAGTCTTGTGAAGCTTTTACGTCGCAATTTCGTAAGATTTTAAGCGGGGATGGAAACTCGAGGAAAGTGACGAAAGTCGTTTGCTTCGGGCTGGGCGACATGAACGCCAAGCTGCCGGATTGGTGGATGGAGCAGAACCACTCTCGACCGGAACATGAACGGACGTCAGAAATGAGCGAGATAGAGGGGCCACTGATACATCATGCTATTGCGATGACGATGGCTGAGATAGTCCGCTCCTGTGCTAAAACAGAGGACGGGGGCAGTGCCGTTAGACTACTCACGCAAGACCCGGCTTATTCCGATGAAACAAAAGATCTGGTACGACAAATCGGATTTGAGGTGGTCGGAGAACATGGCGCCGGAGGTTTTGCAGAGTTAGACGACGAATCTGTTGTGTTCTCGCCTTTCGCCGCTGCGCCAGTCAGACAGATCATCGCGGATCTTGCGCGGCCTGTTGCCATTATCCTTGCCGGGGGACCCGGCGAGTCCGTCTTCAATAAATCTCGGTATATGATTCCGCTCTCCTTTCCGTAGTTCGAACTAACGTATAACCTTACCTAGGAAGCCATACTACGACCCAGAATCTCCCAGGACGGCGCAGATGTGGAAGGGTTACGAAAGCAGGGAATTTCCAGTCTCATCTGGGGGTGCAAAGCTGGAGGGCTCGCTGCATCAATTGGTAATACATGCTAGAATCGAGGAGCAACCGTGATGATGAACGAAGTTCCCTTCAACAACTGAGCGTGATGCAAGTGAAAAAGGGTACGAATCCTGGATAACATCACAAGGGGTAAGACATGGGTGTTGTCCATCATAACCTTTCCCGCACGACCACTGTCCTACAACTCATGATTAGTCCTAAGATAAATACATAACTCGTCATATAAAGATTCATCCATATAGAGTAATTACTCACTTGTAACAAACGATCAAATCAATTCCCCTTGCACATCGGCAAATACCCGGAGTGCAGATCGAGGAAAATAAATCAAAAAAAAAGAAATCTGGACGAACGGGGAATTGAACCCCGGACCCTTCGCAAACACGGATGACTTAGTGCAAAGCGAATATCATACCTCTAGACCATTCGCCCTCTGATTTAACAATCTGGTACAGCTTTGATTGATAGCGTATGATACGGAATGGATGTATATAAATCGCTCGTTAGCTCTACGGGATCAATTACAGCTCTGCGCGCACGCAATAAGGGATTCATTCATTCATTCATTCAATTCTCACAACACCTGAGCGTGGTCTTTCAAGAGTGTGCATCGTGAACGAAATTTCTTGGCGCTAACAGCCTTTCACAGACCGTGGTCACCATGAGCTGTACTATTGAGAAATGATATGATATGAAACTCCCGTTCACTGATAAAGCACGATATCACACAATTGCAACAACGTATATTATTTTCTATCCGACAGAATCCACCTATGTACCTGAGAATCTTAGGTCCAAAAGAAGTAACAATCACAACATCCCGACACTCTCTCCTATCCCAGCTCCTACTCAATAACCTTGCGCGTCGCGAGATTGTACCGATCGCCAGCCCTCAGGAGGTAGAAGAGCGAGCTCTTAGGCGGGAGGTTCTTCTCCTCGCTGCCCTCGCGGCTCCAGAAGCCTCCATCATAGATGGCGCAGTAGCTGGCGCCGAGGACGCGGGCGCTGTCGCCGTCGACCACGAAGGCCGTGTTCTCGTCGCAGCCGAAGCCGAGCAGCTCCGGGCGCACCTTCAGGATGTCGAACATGTCGAAGATGCGCCCGCGCACGAGCACGTGCTGGTCGATGGCCACGTTGCGCAGGTACCCGAAGCCCACCGTGTGGTCGCCGACCAGGATCTGGTTCGTCGCCGTGTCGCCGCGCGCGAGGAAGCTGCCCTGGATGCTGGCGCCCGCCGAGCTGCCGCCGATGACGCCTCCCCGGTCCAGAACCGCCTGGAACGCTGCCTCTGTCTTCGTGCCCGCGTAGGCGTCCACTAGCCGCCATTGCCGGCCGCCGCCGAACCAGACTCCCGTCGCATTGAGTAGTGGTTCCACGAACGCATCTGTGTCCGCGACTTTGGGGTCGTACGTGTGGAGCACGGTGACGTCCGTGGCTCCTAGACGCCGGAACGAGGATGCGCCTGCGGCGTTCTGGTCGTAAGTGGGCGCCCCGTCGGCGGTGGGGATCACGACGATGGGTCCTCCTCCAGCCCGGGTGATGACTTCTTGGTAGATCGAGTCGCTGAGAGTGCCGCCGCCGACAACGACAAGCGATCCTTTCACGGGCCCGACGACAGGGTCCGCGGCACTTGTCATCGTGGACTGGGAGGAGAGGAGAAGGAGAGTAGAGATTGATGGGCTAAGAAAGCGCATGATGGGCTTTATTGAACCTGTGGGCCTTCTTCACTATTGGATATTATAGACGTATGCACTCGAATTAGCGCAATTAGAAATCAAGGTTCCAACCGCGTCAGATCTCAATTCTAATTGAGTATTAGAAGGTAGGCAGCGTGCTACGTATTTGAGGTGGAAGCAATCTGAGGAAATCCGATTCGTATGATGAGGCATCTGAGACATCATCCCCTTTTATACTCATTCCGAACAATTGCAAATATGCAGTATTCAGTCCATCCGATCATACACACTATTAATTGTGCCAAATAGCATCATCGCCACTGGCGGAGCCGAGGAGCATGATAGGGCGGGATTGACACCGTAAATTTCCTGGCAGGGCAGGTGGTGCTGGTGGAGTGGACGATATACTTGCCGTGCATCTCGGCGTGGGTTCTCGTCGGGATCGGATAGGTGGCTCGGACGTCAACGCTCGAATGAATTCTCCAAGGGCGATTATATGCTCGTGTGTGGGTATTGCGTGATGCAGCCGTTGGTCTCTTGGCAATGGCGAAGTAGGTAGGTGCTTTGATCGCCCCGGTCCGGTAAAACCAAGTGATGTGACTTGGCCCGGAAATATCATCTTCAGTGGGACAGCCAAATAAGTTTGATGAGATACGCAGAAGCGAGTGAGAGTCGGCTGCAGTCGAGTAGGCAAACGTGCACTGCTTTATACGAGCAAGTAGCTGACCGCTACAGGCTTGGAAATTGAGATTATTGTGCCTAAATTTGGGGCAACATTCCCAGATGCAGGTTGAGCAATCAAACCGATGGATTTTGTAGACTTTTGTAGACTATCAACAATTACTATGCATTGTTGGGCCAAGCGTGCTAGTCGACTGTTCCTCGCTTCGTGTCTGGTGCATGCCAAGCTCTCTCCGATTGTTCATAGATCTCGAAATATAGAGCTTGGATGTCTGGGTAGTTGGTAATAGTGAAAGGCTAGAGGCGAGGGTAGCATTATACGATCGTGAGGCCCTTCTGAGGAGCACAACAATGACTGAGACAGTCCTAATTTGGGTAGAGCCGTACCGGTAAGGGGAAACACCATTCTGCGGCAATTGACCCTCAAATCTGAGGCGAACCTAGGTAGATATTGCAACAACAACAGACAGATGTCTTGGCCTATAAGACGGTGGCGTATGTGCACAATGTTTCACTCCATGCATGATGTAAATAGGGGCTTCGTAGTAGGCATAGACAGGTTCATTACGTCGATAGCACTTATGGCTTCTTTCCTATGAAGGAGCCTTCAAAGCCAGCTCGGCCCTTTGATTTCTTCGCACCCTTCTTCTTGCCGGCTTTCCCTAAGATTTTCTCGTCGCGTCGCTTTTGGATGTTCTCCTCTCTCTTCTTCTGTCGATCCTTGATACTCTTCGCCACGCCATCTTTCCTGGCCGCCCACTCTTTTGTACTCTTCTTCTTGGTGCTTTCCTTGCGCTTGACAGCCTTTTTGAGCATCTTCTCGTCGTCCTTAATCTTTTCCCCTTCGGCTCGCCTTCTAGCAGTGAGCCATGCCTCTTTCTCTTCAACATCTTTTCGCTTCTCTTCATCCATCGCCTCTAGTCGCTTCTTCTGGTTTTCGAATTTGAGAAGCGCCGTCTTAGGGTCGGATGGGCCCTTCTTGGGGGTTCTGTTGAGTACGTGTGTGAGGTCATGAGATAACTGGGAACCATCGCCGAACCCAACGCGGCCAAATGCGAAGTTGTGATGTTCTCCGATGTCGATATTAGGGCTGTGAATACCTCCTGGAGATTCACGCGCAGATGCTAGCGCCTCGTCGCGTTTTCTCTCTTCCTCAAGCTTAGCCTGTCGCCTGAGCTCCTTCTTATGGGCCTTGCGCTCCGCTTGCTTTTGACGACGCGATTCTAACAGCTCTTCCCGAGTATGGATTGGCTTTCCATCCTTATCAGCTTTTCGCGCATCACGGAGAGCCTGTATCTTGGCAGCTAACCGAGCGCGCAGCGCGGCACTGTCCGCCGGTATTTTAACATGCTTCGGTTTCTCAGAGCCAGGGTCAACAGAGGACACAGATGTTGTTACACTGGGAGCTTGTCCTGTAGAATCTGCCGGTGTCCCGTTGGTATCGAAGAGGGGAGACTGTGGTGTATCGGTGGGCGAAGCTGGGAACTCGGGGTCAGGGTTTTCGTCCGCTTCTGCAGCATGTACCGAGGCTGAGACATCATCCATGGCCATCTCTCCCTCTAGTTTGTCTGCGTCCATTTCGGTTACGCCATCATGATCTTGTGCAGCGTCGGGCGCTGCCGTGTCATCGTCCGGTACCGTAGTTGACCTGTCTTCACGTTTCCCGAGTTTGATCTTGTTGACGCCCTTGACAGTTCTGCGATCGAATTCGGCTTCCTCTTCGCGCAACCGCTGTCGCTCCGCCTTACGTTCTTTGCGTGCGGCCTTCTTTTCCTCCTTGCGCTGCAGCTGCTCGTTCAACTCGGCTTCCTCCGCGTCCTGTTTCTGCTTCTTTTTCACTTCTTTGGCAGTCTTCTTCTTCATGCCCTGGCGGGGCTTCTCTGCCTCGATCCCCTCCACCTCGGACCAGCCTTCTTCATCATCTTGCATTTGCTCGTGTTTGCGCTTCCTCCTGGCTTGTTCCTCCATGACCTCCTTGGCGCTCCGGTTCAATGCACTGTCGGGATCGAGCTTGTTCCGCCTCGCCTCAGCGGCCTGCGCCTTGGTCTGCTTTTTCCGTTGCCACTGGTCCTGTGGAGACGGGCTGGAGGTTAGCATTTGATTCGGTATCGCAGCCCATGTAGAGTTATTATCGGATAGCAGAGAGCAGCAGCGAGGGGCTGTAAAGAGAACATTGACGTACGCTAGCATCCTCGCCATAGTACATCTTGGCGGGGATCAAGGACAGCAGGCCATCGAAGGCCTTCTGGGAATCGAGAAGCCGCTCCTGTAAGTAGATACGCCGGTTAATCACCGATTTCTCTCCCTCAACCACTATGCAGGCTGTCCCAGCAAGCTGAGGGCCAAAAGCGGTAGGTGGGAAGTGATAGGCGCAGACCTTGAGTGATGCATCTGCCATTGCTGATAATATAGTGGAGGATGCACGCGACCGGACAACTTCAACATCTGCGTGGTGCCGCCCGACACCGTCTATTTCAACCGATTCTGCCTATTGTGTGGGGGATGCTGAATCAGCACGAATCGTGGAATCGTAGGGTGTAGGACGTCGGGTCTGGTGAACACAGCCGGCTTGCTTGTCGTGAAGGCCGTGGCCGTACTGTAGGTAGCAGACTCGAGATCGAGATGTCAACGATGCAGGGAAAAAAGTTTGGGACCCAGCAGAAGTCTCCAGAGTGTGGTCTAGTCAGAAACGGAGGCTCATGATTGGTGTCAGCAATGGCGGACAGACAGATTTTTGGGCGGCTGGTGGTTTTTAGTGCGGAGACGGTCGCTTCAGTGTGGAACTCTTGGCAGTGTCTTCAGAGTTCTGCCACCCAATTACCTACTAGTGGGGCTGCGGGGGGGACTGAAAAATAGCAGGCGGTGAAACACGGTATGTAGGTATTGACTGCCGCGGTAGCAACTTCTTTACTTATCTGACATCGGCAATTCAAATTGGTAAACAATCAGAGAACAGTATACAATCATAATCACTGCAATATTTCAGGCTTCAAGGTCTTCTTCTAGAAGATAATACTTCGAGTACATGAGCAGCTCTGAATTTGCAAGGTTTCAGTGTCAGTAGCTCTTGACTAT